GGCCACCGCTTCGGACGCCACTTGTGGAATTCTTCCACCGGCAGCTGTAACTTTAAACCGGCCTGAGCGAGGCCTATTTTTACCCAGAAACCAGCGCCCAGAGTGCCTGTGGAGAAGGCTCGGATGGAGGGCTAGCCCGCCACTTGAGGAGTCCTCACAAAGTGGTGTGGAAGGACAGGCTTGTCCCGGGAGCCTTTCGTTGAGATCTGTCGCCCCCTTCCAGGGAGGGTCGTTCTGGTTGCTGGGGGGATTTTGGATAAGGGTTGCCTGAGCCTGGGGAACTATATCTGAAACCCATCGCTCGGCCTCCAAGCGGTGACTCCCAGGCCGCCACGCATGAGCCCGGGCCAAACGGTGGCCTGGCCGCCCGCCTACAGGGATCCTTCCAGGAGCTCTTTAGGGACCGGCGTGTGGCAGTGAGGAGCAAGGAGATGAATGTAGCAGCCAAGTACCGCCAGGCCTCCCTGTATGTGGGTGACCTCCATGCAGACGTCACCGAGGACCTGCTGTTCAGGAAGTTCAGCGCTGTGGGGCCCGTGCTGTCCATCCGCATCTGCAGGGACCTGGTCACCCGCCGCTCTCTGGGCTATGCCTACGTGAACTTCCTGCAGCTGGCAGATGCTCAGAAGGCCCTGGACACCATGAACTTTGACCTGATAAAGGGCAAATCCATCCGTCTCATGTGGTCTCAACGTGACGCCTACTTAAGGAAATCTGGAATTGGGAACGTGTTCATCAAGAATCTGGACAAATCCATTGATAACAAAACCCTTTATGAGCATTTTTCAGCTTTTGGGAAGATCTTATCCTCTAAAGTGATGAGTGATGATCAAGGCTCCCGGGGCTATGCATTTGTGCACTTTCAGAACCAGATTGCGGCCGACAGGGCCATCGAGGAGATGAATGGGGCGCTGCTTAAGGACTGCAGGCTGTTTGTTGGCAGATTCAAAAGCCGTAAAGATCGGGAAGCCGAGCTCCAAAACAAAGCCAATGAATTCACCAATGTTTACGTCAAAAACTTCGGAGATGACTTGGATGATGAGAAATTGAAGGAAGTTTTCAGCAAATATGGCAAAACCCTAAGTGTTAAGGTGATGACAGATTCCAGTGGGAAATCCAAAGGCTTTGGCTTTGTGAGTTTTGATAGCCATGAGGCTGCCAAAAAGGCTGTTGAAGAAATGAATGGAAAGGACATAAACGGACAGCTGCTTTTTGTAGGCCGGGCACAAAAGAAAGCAGAGCGACAGGCTGAGTTAAAGCAAATGTTTGAGCAGCTGAAACAGGAAAGATTTCGTCGGTGCCAGGGGGCGAAGCTCTATATTAAGAACCTCGATGAGACCATTGATGACGAAAAACTTCGAAGGGAATTTTCTTCATTTGGGTCAATTAGCAGAGTTAAGGTAATGCAAGAAGAAGGGCGAAGCAAAGGGTTTGGCTTGATCTGCTTCTCCTCTCCTGAGGAGGCCACGAAAGCATTGACTGAGATGAATGGCCGCATCTTGGGCTCCAAGCCTCTCAACATCGCCCTGGCCCAGAGGCCCTAGGAGAGGAAAACTTACTGCACCAGCCAGTGTTTGCTGCAGGTTGGGTAGGGAATGTTAGTGATCTCTGCCTGAATTGTCCTCAGTAAATTTCAGATCCCAGCTGATGGCTTCTTAGTTTGGTAAACATTGTGATCAAAGGTTTTGTATATAAAGCTATTTCATTTTCTTCCGAGGAAAAATATTTGAACCTTAGAAGCCCGGTTCTTTTTACAGAAGCACACCATTTAATTACAATATTATGTATTTTTCTGATTTTAATGTAGTGTTCAGAGCAAAAGTATAGTTAGATATATTTTATTGTATTTTGAACCAACTGAAGTGTGGTAATTATTTGCATTTACTGCATACTTTTTTCTTATTTTAAAATCGCTAGCTTTAATTTCTTCCATGAAAATATGCCCAAAGTAGTTCTTATACCTAAGGATTGCAAAATTACTTTTATAAACAAAGTTTCTAATTTCATATCTAATTTTTTAAAGAAACCAAAATTTAAAAATCGCCACTACAAATTTGATATCTAATTTCGTTTTAATAATGTTTAAAGAACTAGGACATGGTTGAATATCTTTTAAATTTGTATCCCCAAAAGATTGTTTTTCTAATGTCTGAAATTAATGATGGAGTTTTTAATGTTGCCTACAAACCTGCTTTATAGGATATTTTGCTGTTCTTTCCATTGGTTGACCATTCAGGTGCTTGCTGGTTATCAAAATAGTGACTTGAATAGTAGAACCTTAACTTCTACATTCCTTAAGTTATGAACCTGTATCTATTCAGGTAAAAAAGTTGGCCTAGTCTTAATTCTCTTTACATATACACAATATAAAATTATGCCTTAAGTCTTGAACCAGATACCAATACTATAAAAGTCATATATATATATAGAACATAGATATTCTGTTTACCAACTGTGTTTTCTAATCTCTGTTTTATGTTGTTCCATGTAGTGATACTGTCTCAGGGTTCAGAAAAGTAAGATCCTTTATTTTTATGAACTCTATGTCTCCTTTTATCAGACCTTAAGAGCTGTGTAACCCATTAAGGGTCACATTTAGCCTGGATTGATCAGAAGTTCACTAATTGATTTTCTGATAAATTGAAGTTACATCACTTAGCCCGTTGTCCAGCACAATTTTTATTTCAGTCTCATTCCCAGACGTTTCCTTCTCTCCTGCCTTTAGTCAATATTATTCAGTTCCTCTGTACTTTTTAAAAAGGGTTTTATTATACTGACTTTTACTGTGTGCTATTTGAAATCCACTTTGGAAATGGATGCAAGAGTTATTTATTTACATTTAAGTAATTAATTTTAAAATTCTGATTCAGTCTTACCAAAGGTGTCCAGAAAATAGTTCTGCTGTTGTTGTTTACTCTGCTTGGTTGTTTCTTGTGACCATATATTCAAGTTTTCTGTTTTTTATATTACCAGAACAGAAGAAACATTAAAGTATTTTTCTTTGGCAATACTTTAGCTATGAAAGAATGAGAAAATCTGTTTTGTTTATTTTTGTATGGACTATATGTATATGCATTGCACATTTTCTAAATTAAAAGTCTCTTTTAGACAATGAAAAAATTATGGAGAGTGAAAAAAATTACAGCAACACATAATCTTATTATGCAGACAGATCTTTAAAATTTATTGCATTTCCCAAATTTTTTCTATACTTATACACATAATTTAATGAAAATGGAATCATACTATAAACCTCGTTTGAAATTGCTTTCTTAATTTGACAATATGCCATAGTCAGCTTCTATGACCACAACTAATTATTTGCACTATAATTTTAATGACATATCTTTCCGTTAATGCTTGTATCATAATATAATAATTTCTTCTTGATAAACGTATAGGTTGCTAGATTGTTCCCTCTCTTTTTCTTTTCCCTCTATCATAAACAACTTGAAGATAAAAACCCTTGCAAACTTATATATGCTGATGTATATAATTTTCTTAAGAAAATATATAATTCATTGGAATTAATGTTTAAGAGGACAGCAATTTAAAAAATTATTTCAATAAATATTACCCAAATGCTGTTCAGAAACTTGTGCCACTTAACATTTCCATTATGAGTGTCTATGTTCATTTTCCTGTACTCTAAGAAGAAGGGATTTTATTTAAGTAGTTCAATTCAAGATGATATGTAAAAACAAAATATTTCATGGTTATTTATTTTATTTTTTATTACATCAAAAGTTAAGCAGCATTTCTTGTATTTACTGGTCATCTGCCATATTGTGAGCTAATGTTTCAGGATCTTAGCCTATTTTCCTGTTGGGATATTTTTCATTTAAATGGATTTGTTAATTTCTTTACATGTTAAGGACAAAATTTTAAACTTTTCTTCCTTGATACTCTTATCTTGTTTCTAGTTTTGAGAATCATTCCAAAGTTAAATTTTCAAAGTCAAAAGCTAAATCTTTCAGTTTGATGGCTTTAATATGTTTCAAAACACTTTGAACACCTCAAATATACATACTCCCCAACCACATACGTACAATTCATCTGTATTATCTTCTATTACACTCAGAGTTTCATATTCTCAGTATTTTCTAAACAAAACTTTTGTCCATACAGTAGCTTATCCACAGCCTATATTAATATTTTTGAAGTGTCTTTAATTTTATTAACATGTTTTGGTAAATACTGATCCACTAAGAATATATATGAAATCCATAAGCCAACTCTAATTCATTGGCTCTTTGAATCACTGTGTTGAGAAGTATTTACCTCCAAAGGAGAGAGCTTTTAAGAAAAGGTGCTAGGCAACATGACTGGGAAGTGTAGTAGGTGTGTCAAGCCTTGACAGCTCTTTCTGGATAATTCACTCTATCAAAATGTTCAAATATTTGAACAATGTTTCATAATGCTTGTAAATGGATTATCAAGATAATATCAGGGAACTGAGTTAGTTCTCTTCTCACATGCAAAAAGAATTAATAGAACATAATATCAGATGTTTAGATGAATTGTAGCTATAGCTTCATGACAATAATATATCATTTTAGTAAAATTGCTTATTATTAATATTTACCATAAGAAATGATTGTCAGTTTACCAAAAGATATGATCTTGTAGATTTTCTTGATTATTTAAATTTTACTCATTCTAAATTGTGTGTGTGTGTGTGATACTATCAAGTCATCTTCGCAGTAGAGATTCATGAATTCAAGAAACTTTATTCTTTTTATGTCCAAGTGCCTTGATAAATTAAAAAAAAAAACTTCGCTTTTCTGATAAACATTCCAGTAAAAGTTAATTTATACAGAGATGCCTTGAGCCACTGCTTCTGTTCTCCCTTTTCTTTCCCCACACACATTGTCGTTTGTTGTATAGATGCCTGCTTGCATATACAGCCAATTGAATAGATATATGCCTTTTAAATTTTTTATTTTTAAATTTTTAAAAGGAAATTTATAGTTAGTAAAAATAAGCTTTTTAAAGTGGTGTAGGATTGGTATTTTCATGTTCTTAGTATTTTTATAACTCCATTGAGAAAAGCTCAAATAAAATCTAATCCTTCAATGATGAAGACTTGTCTGAAAATGATTTTTATTTATTTAATTTTTTCATATATCTACTTTTCTAAAATCAGTTTTTCTTAGGAATAAACTAGAAACAACTTTCATTTTTAAATGAAAATGGTCATATTTCATGTTTTAAAAGACCAACTCCCATAGGAACTAGTAACTCTTTTTTAAGTTACTCGTAATGATGGGACCATGATTGAAAAGCACCTCTAGTGTAGACCAAGACTTCATGAGGAATACGAGACTACTTTAAAGACACTTTTGAATTTAATTGTTAAAGTAAAATTCAGCTAATATTTTGAGGATTTAGAATTAGCTTACTTGTATTACATTCAGAAAGTATGCCTCATAATGTAATTTTTAAAAGTAATTAATAAAACAGGTAGAAAAAAGAATTCTTTTAAATCTACATTTTAGAAAGTAGAACAAATTAAATATCCTCAGGATATTTTTGGTTTCAAGTAATAGGAAATCCAGCTGATAGGAGAAAAGGAAATTTTATTTAACAAAATATTCAGAGTTAAGGTGTCTTCAGGTGAGGTATAGCAGAATGTCTGTGCCAGTTCTCCTGGGGAGTCTCCTGCTCTTCACTCTGTCTCAGCTTCATCATCAGGCAGGTTTTCAAGATGCTTGCAGGAATTCCTGTTACCACACTGAACACAGCAACACTCAGAAGGTGATACCTTTCCTAGAAACCTTTAACAGCTTTCCCCCTCAGTTCTCATTGTCCGTTATTGTCGTACTTACCCGACAAGAGCTGCCACTAGAATTGAGGAAGGAGTCAACTTTCCAAGTTCCTTGCAGAATGGGCTTATGCTAGGAAGAAACAAGAGTAGAAACGGCTGTAGGGTATGCATCTACTAAACCTTGGACAGTTTTCGTTATTTATATCTAATTTTTAATTTCAGTATTTACTAGATATTTCCTTTCTGCTTTTAACATTTGCTTACAAATAGTTCTTAAAATTCAGTTTTCTCCCTACAAATCATTTTCAACACTTGAGTCAAACTGGTGATTTTCCTCTACCTCAAGTTGTATAACCATAGGGAATAAATTGTGTGGTATATTCTGTATAAAACTGAATTCACTTTTGTTTGGTAGTGGGACTTGTGTTTTTACAAGCAAGGAGGTCTAAATGAGGCATCTACTGAAAATTATAACTGAAAACGTCAGATTCACCTTACTCACCCCAATGAGTTTCCACCAAAAATAGTTAACAACAGATTACAAATGGTCAAGAATGTTTTAAAATAAATCTACATTTAATAAGGTATTGGTTTCTTGAGTTTTAATTTAAAGTAGTGTAAACCAAATATGTTTTCATGCATGTTAGTTAATATTTTAGAATTGTACCACCAGAGGGAAGGAACTCTCTATTTATTATGTATATCACCAACTACTGTGATATTCTATATAAAGAATTTTTTAGAAATAGTTCCTACTCACAATGTAATAGGTAAATCTTGAGAAGAATCTAAAAAGTTAGGTACCTACAAAATGGCCCCAATAATGTAACCACAAATGTAAATCAATGGGTACTCAGTTTCTTTCCTAACGGATTTATATTAGGTCTTTTAGTGTATTAAAATGGTAAGAATTAACAAAATTGGACCTACCCAAACTTCGCAACATATTTTTTCTGTATTACACAAATGTGGTATAACTGTCACACATTTTAACCATGCAACATATACAAACAAACAAAAAACAGATGTACGTAAATTCTGAGTTACACATTTGTGAATTTGTTAAAGTCAGATTATTTTGCAAGTTTGTTCAGAGGAAATATTTATAGCTACTTGTTGGTTTTGTATCATGGTCATGTCTTATCTTAGCGTTCACAGAGGATGCTTTTAACAATATTGAAGTTCCCCTGAGTGAAACAATTGAATCTATCAAGCAAGAGAAGAAAAATGATCTTCTTAGTGGCATTCTTTGCCATAGTAGAGAAAACTCGTAGCTTCTGAGAGATATTGGCAGTTTGTACAATGATATCACATCAGATTTTGTTAACCCATCTGTATTTACATCACCTTAGATATTAAAAATATCCCCAGTTTGAAGTTCTGCCAAATACTAACAGCATATTTGAGTTCCAAAGGCAATATCACTGAAATGGTGGATGTTATTATAAATTTTTTTTTGCATAAAGTGAATAAGGGTCATGATTCATTGTGTTGTGTGTGCTTATGAGTTTTTTTAATTGGTATTTGCAATGGAATTTTCTTATCTCAGGAAACCATATCTGACAGTCTGTAGTGAATCACAATTTTGATTTAGATTTCATTTCATCTTTGTACATGTGCCAGTGGCATACCAGTGCACCACAATTTTGACATATTGCCAATTCTGGTTCCTTGAAGTTAAAGTAAGCCTTTATAATTGTAATTTCAGCAAATCTTTGTTAATCAAAAAAGTGCTTCAGTTTGAATGCAAGCCAAATCTTAGAATTATTTTGACACATCATTATTTTACTGAATTACCAAGGGAGGTGTTAAAAATGGTAATCTAGCATTATCCACTACTTTATTCACTAATATTTCATACATAGTACTTATAATAAGAGACATTTGTATTGTACAGATTACAACTGGCAAAAAGCAAGTGGTACTGAAGTTATATCATAATCTCATTTTATTTTAATATTTATTTTTATTTTAACCAAATTATATTGAGAATGTGATCATGTCATTCTGCTTAAAAATCTCCCATAGCTACCCACTACTTTTAAAGTCAGATATAAATCTTTACTGTGGCCTAAGAGACCGGCATTTTTTGGTCCTTATGTATCTTTTAGTCCTATTCTTATGCTACAATTTCCCTTATTCAATGGGCTATCAATAAATTGTTCTTACTGCAACTCCTTTAAAGTGTCAACCTAATCCCTGCCTCACTCATAGCTTTAACTTTTTATCAGATAGTATACTGTCAGTTGCAAGGGGTAAAAGAAGTCTTATAACTGGTTTATGAAAAAAAAAATGTTGGGGGGATTTATTGCCAGATCAAAATAAGTAAGAGATCTTCTTTTCAAAATGGAAGTATTTTTTTCTTTTCTTTTTTTCTTTTTTCCTTACAAAGGTCAAGGAAGGCTCCCCGTACACTGTTATACTACAGAGGCAGCAGTACCTATTTTGAAATTAGACCACAAGGCATAGTGTTGTAGGGAGAAAAAAAAGCAAGTCTTTTACAAAAGGTCAGGGAGGCTCACCTTCAAACAATTAGAATGTTATTTTAATATTATTATTATTATTATTATTATTTTAAATAACAGCTTATTCTCCTTCCTGCCTATGCTTTTTCAGGTTTTAGGAAATAGAATAGATATATTTTTCAGTGGGTGATCTGATAATATTCTAGCTGGAACATGTGATGGAAACTGTCCTGCCTTTGTAAGAGAAAAAGTAAAAAAAGTCATACGTCCTTAAAAAGATAAAGTATAGGGTAGAGAAACAAATTCAGTAGCAAATCACTGCATTTAAACAAAATCTATTATTAGAAATCAGCTTGAGAAGAGCAAACAGCAGAATAGACCTAAGAAAGTATGGCCAAAAATGTTTTTGAGGAAATCTACATATTGATGGATTTTTGTTTAGTTATTTTGTTCTTTAGAATTTATATTAAAATATAATATACACACAGAAAATATAGAAATTTTGAGCATATAATTTGATGAATAATACAAAAATAATTATGGTTCTGTAACTACCACTCAAATCAAGAAACAGAATATTTCCTAGATCCCTCTAACTCCCTCCCAATCATTTTCTTATCACACTCATTCAAATGTAACTTCTACCTTGACTTTAAACTCTAAAGATTAATTTTAGGTACTTTTACTGTATTCAAATTGATTCATAAAGCATACATCTTCTTGTGTCACTTTCCCTCAAGATGTTTTAGTGAGATTCATATATATTATTTAGTGCAGGAGTAAAGTGTTCATTGTCATTATCATATATGATTCTGTTGTGTGACTATACTACAAATTATTTATCCTTTTACCATGAAAGGACATTGAGCTGCTTCCATATTGAGACTATAATGAATAATGCATCTTCAAAAATTATCATAGATATCCTTTTTGATTGAGTTATAAATCACATAGCATAAAAGTAACCATTTTCAAGTGTGCAGTTTAGTGGTTTGTAGTATAGTCAAAAGGTTGTGTGACACCACCATTATGCAGTTTAGAAAATTTTTATCACTTCAAAAAGAAACCTCATCCAGACATGAATAGTTACTCCCGTTCTCTCCTCCTTCCAGCACCTGGCAACCATAATCTAATTTATGTCCTGAAGGCTTTGCCTGTTCTGGACATTGTATATAAATGCTTTCTTACAACTTGTGACCTTTTTTCTCTGGCTTTCACCTAGTCTAATGTTTTACAGTTTTGTCCATGTTGCAGCATGCATCAGTACTTAATTCCTTTTTATGCTTGAATAATATTTATTTGTATGAATACACCACATTCTGTTTATCCATTCACCATTTGTTGGACATGGGTTTTTCTCCACTTCCTGAATTTTATAAATAATATTTCTGTGACTTTTGTGTACAAATTTTTGCATGAATATGTATTTTCAATTCTCCTAAGAATGCTCATAGACAAAGGTATATTCTCCTTTTTTTTTCATAAATGTTACCCCTTAAAGACTCAACTTTGGTTACATTAATTTTCCCTATTATTTTTCAATTCTTTCCTTTTTGCTGTGTTTTGCTTATTTCTGCTTAATCTTTATTATTTCCTTCCTTCTGCTGGCTTTGCGTTTAGCGTACTCTTCTAGTTCTAATTTCTTAAGGTGAAAAGATAAGTTATTCATTTGAAATCCGTCTTCTTTTTTAGCATAGGCATCTATGGTTAGACATTTTCCTTAGGTATGTTATGTAGAAGAATGAAGAAGCAGGATGGAGAAGGAAAACTTAAGGAAAGTTATCTGTAGTTCCAGACTAAGTCTGGGAGTTCTGGAATAAAATTACATCTGCCCGGAGGCAGCAGATCTGAACTTTTGTGCTTCTCTAGCCCAGGTCAGTAGCTACATGTTTGCCTCACTGTCTAATAGTAATTCTCTGCCATGCCCAGTACCAGAAATTAGCTGCAAAGCACACAGTAACTGAGGAGTGGGTAGAAAACTCTGTTAAAAAACATCTGAAATGTTCCAGTCTGTCATGTAAAGAGCTCAGAAGTTGCCAGTCCATAACAACAAGTAAAAGGTTGAGCACACTGGAAAATCAGCAGCTTTTCTTATATCTGTCAGTGGAGCGAGGTTACAGGGAAAACTATTTCCCTAGACTTGGAAAGACAGAGAGACAGAGAAGTACAACGTACAAGAGCAGAAACTCACAAGCAGAAACTTGTGAAGAAAATCTGAACTGTAGAGAAACCTGAACTATAACTGAAAAATTGCTGGAGGCTCAGTTTGGACATGCCTCAGAGATAAAGACCTCAGGGGGACCCAGTCCCTGAGTAAGGTGGGTGGGTACATTCTTGTGTGTTTTACCTTCAGGAGCTTTATCAGGTTCTCACCGTAAAAATCCCATCATGCTTCCGAGAGTGGGAGGAGAAATGTAGCACTGAAGTAGAGCACTCTATCCTATTTAATGAGATCTGACCTAAAGAGAAACTATTTTATAAGAGTCTAACTCTTTGGGGTATTATTAGAGCTTAACTGACATGGGGAGGAGGAAATACCTAACTCCAGCCTCATCTAGCCATACTGCACTACTTTTGGGGGTGAAAAATTAAAAACAATTGCAAAAGCATTTGTAAAGTTCACAGCCCAGGGGCACAAACTTACTCAAAGACAGATCTAATCATAAGACTGGAACGCTTCACATCCCACAGCTTCTCACTACATTACAAAAGGCCTAGTTACTGCTATTCCTTTTACAGAGTACATTATGTCCACCTTTCACATACTAAAAGGCAAAATACACAGCTTGAGAAAGCAAAACAAGCTTAAATACCAGACCCAGAAATGGCAGGAATGTTGGAATTATGAAACTATTGATTTTAAAACAACAGTGATTAATATGGTAAGAGCTTTAATGGAAAAAGTGGGCAACATACAAGAACAGATGAGCAATGCAAGACTAAAAAGATAACATAAGCAGAGAGTTAGAAATGGTTAAGACTCAAAAAGAAATGCAAGAAATAAAAAATACTGTAACAGAAATGAATAACACCTTTGATGAACTCAGTTGTAGAATAGACATGGTTGAGGGAAACAAAAACAAAAAAAACTCTGACCATGAGAACATGTCAATAGAAA